ATACGTCTTATAAAAGTCGTGCTCGAAGACGGGAAGAGGTGGGCGGTGGATCAGGCCGCCAAGCTCCTCTGGATCTCACACAGGGTTTCTGTTACCCTGCCGTGTACCCAGAGTCCCCACGAGATGGATGTGGAGTCCTCTTCGGCTTGGGCGGAAACCGCTCAAGCCTCTTATACAGCTAACAGGCCAATCGTTAGCCGCCACGTGTGAATAATTTAGCACTAGCCAATCACGGGGAACGAATTTGCATACCGGTGGCGGGAACTCTTTTGCACCGTGCATTCCTCTTGCAACTCGAGCAATGCACTCTGCAAAAGAAGCTGCAGAAAAGGCGGGAAACGCGTCCGTGCACTGGGGTTTCCTCTTGCTACAGGAAACTCTCCCGTGCAATGCTCTGCAACTTGGTGGGGATAATTCTGGTGCCAAAGCACACACACAATCATGCCTTTTGGGTCATGACACAAGGGTCCTTAGTCCTGTCATCTGTTTCTCTTTCATCTCCAGCACTCCCCCTTCAATCCTGTTCTACCTCCCCTTCTCTTGCTTTACATTGTCCAGGAACTTTGCCAGAAGTAAGCAGTTTCCCCAGTTGAAGCAATTGATTGTTTCCCCTTTTGGGTCAGTTTAATTTTCTTTTTTTTCCTCAACTAGGGAACCCAGGGTCAAACTGATTTTTCCAGGGATTATAGGGAGATGTTGGACAAGGTTAATCCTTCTGTGAAAATGCATTTCCTCAGATATAAGGTCTCTTATTTCCTTTCCCACCTGTGCTGGCAGCCAACATGCTCATTCTTAACTTCCCATGCCCTGCATACTCATAGTAGCCTAGCTTAAAAATTAATTTGCTCTCTTACATCTGTGATTTCTAGTAAGCTTACCAAGAGTTAGCATGAATTTGTAGCAACACATAAACTACAAAAGATTAGTAGTTCACTAATCATTGTCAGTATATTCATCATAAATGGTGTAGCCTAAACTTTGTATGCAGTTTTGATTGTTTGTGTTACAAATAGTAATGTGTGTAATAGTTGGTGTAAATAGGGCTCAGGCCTTGCTCTCGCCCTTCACAACCAATGGGAAGGTAAAACCACAAGAGAGCTCCAAGGGAGGTGAGGGTACCTGAAACTACTTCTAACCCTAACTTTTCCAGATTTCAAATTGACTGTGTCCATAAAATAGATCCTCCCTCAACATTTTATCCCATGTCTTAAAATGTTTCATTTTCCCTGAACACTTAAACTGATAGTTACGTGCACAGGTTGCAGGGACATAATCCCAAAGGCTGCAGTGCAGGCAATCTAGCCCAGGAAATTGCTTGAATGAATAAAGCTGAATTAAAGTTGGATGCACTTGTATCACTACAGAATTAACATAACTTGTACTGGTGTCCTTTGATTGGGATACCTTTAAATTGACGTGCTGTTATTATGTATTCAATAAAATTGCATAGCAGTTGATGCAGAATTGTCTGCATAAGGCCAGTCAATGCATCCTGCCCTTTTTTCTGTAACATCTGTAGCAAATGGCCTGTTTATCTATCATGTGACCTGATCATGAAAGCACACTAAGATGGGTACACGGTAATTGAAAACGTGTAATCATTTTGTTATGCTCTCAAACAGAACTGTTCTGTAGCTGGGAGGAAGAATGATCTTGGAATTAAGGCAGTGGACCGTTTCTTCAGGGATTTCTGTTCATTTTGTAGCTTTGCCATAGACTTGCTGCAGGATCTTGGATGTGATCTGTTTAATCTCAAAATGAGGAATCAGGGGCTGGAGTATAGCACTTGTTTTCAGCTTGTTTGTCTGTCTTGCCTATTTAGATTGGGAGTTGCATCCTATGGCCTATCCTGCAGAACCATTGGATGCAGCCTACAGATGGGGGAGCTTCTACTACAGGTGCTCTCCTCACGACACCAAGGGACAAGTGCCTGTCTGCTTCTGGCTTACAGCCGGAAAAGGTTGCCTACCCCCAATTTGTCACAGCTGCTTAGACACAGAAGGCAATTTTGTACTGTGTGTACATACAGTGCCTAGGACAGTGTGGCTCTGATTTTCAGTCGGAGTTGTCAGTTCCTTCAGGACTTCAGATAATTATACCATAACCAAATCTCAAGTTTTTGATACTAACTGTTGTTTTCTTGGTTTTTCTCTGCCACAGACCGTCAAGACAAGTATGCAGCTGTTCAGTGGTTCTGTCACTTTACAGAGATACCACCTAGTAAACGGAAACTGCTGCAAAGAAAGGTTTCTCCCTTGGAGATATTTTTGGATCGAGGTTCAAGCTATGACACACAAGTAAATGTGGAGACCATCATTAGAAGTGTTATGGTATGTATGCAAGGCCCTCCATGCAGGAAAGGAAGAGGTAGAAGAGCCTAAAGCAACCACAAAAGCTATTTCATTTTTCCTATCGCAGCACCCTCTTGAATCTTTAATGCAGGTCTATAGTTGGCCATTGTGAATGGTTTTTTTAGCATACTTCCATCTGGACAATAGTTGATATCTAGGGTTAGGGGGTATCTGTTGTCTCCTGGAAGATTTATTCTGTATAAAGGATGTTACTGCATCCATATTTTTTTAGCAAGTTCCAGTCATTTTAACTTCTTTCCTTTCTCATATGCCCTTTCTTATATGGTCTGCAGCCTCTACTTTAATTATGGTTGTGAAGTGTTTTGTATTGCTCAGTATGCCACCCTACTGCTGTATGAGCAACTCTTGGTGAAAATGTCAAGAAACTAGTATTGGATACTCTTGCAAAATACAAATCTAGAAATGTCAGCTCCAGTCTGTACTCAGATCAGGAGGTCTACTGGAATTTAGTATTGAAATCTATAAACAATAGATAATAATCTCTTGATATTTTCCCCTCTTATAGGTGATACCACTGACTCCAAAGGAGGTGGTGCCTGTTACGTCAAAGAGAAAACAAGTTTTCTATGTAAAGGAATCTTGGGATGGGAAAAGTTTTAAGCCTCTGTCTCATGACCTATTTTCTCAGCTTTCCTCACCTCTGACAAGGAAAGGGTATGGTTCCCCCATTCTAGTAACTGAGTCCGAGGTGCTTCCTTTGGATATCATGTGTTCTGCATATACGGAGACAGAGAGAGGCACTCAGAGTGCCACAAAAAACAAGAACCTTGCAATGGAAATAGAATCAAGACACTCTGCTTCTAAGTCGTCTTTGTCCAAGGAGAGACATTCCCAAAGGCTGGCCAATGGCAACCATACCCCAGGAGCAAGGAAGAAGTTACAGCTAAACGGTATGTACATGGCAAGATTTGTATCCATTCATTACTTTTGGTTCTACCAGGATTTTTGCAGGCAGTATTAAATCAAGCAGAAGAGTGGCTGAAATGAGAATCTTAGAGACTAAAGTTTATCTATAGCCTCACTTATTCCTAGCCCAGTGAGTGATTCCTGCAAGCCTGGCTGCCATCTGACTGCTTTTCACCTGGTACTGAGGCAAAGGGGTTTACAGGGAGTATGAGTCCCTCAGTAACTGGATTCTGTTCTTGGATGGCAGCATCATGTAGTGCAAGGATCCCTCTCCATCTCCTGAACAGCTGTGGTAGCCACTGAGCCCTTGATAAGGCATGGATACAAGAAATAAATTAACACCCTGAGGAAGGCTACTCCTTTCTATGCAGCCGGCTGTTGGTGTGCCTTCTCTTAGTATCTGGTCTTTTGAGCTGTTGAAAACTGAAGATCTTTATTGCTGTGTGACCTAGCAAATTGGTTGGCAAGATACTGCTGAGAGTTCTGCACTGGCAGAAGTTATCAATGAGGGTAGGAAGGATCTATGTCTTTGGTCGTACCTGAAATAAATGAGTTACCTCAAAAAAATTAAGTCCAATCTTTAGGAGATGTAATTCAGGTTAATGCAGTGTAGTTATTTGTTCCCTTCAAGTGACAGACAAACACATGGGTAAGATGGTTTACACAGGGATGATCCTGCCTTGAACAGGGAGGCTGAACTGGATGACCTCCTGAAGTCTCTTCCAGTCTGACTTTTCTATGATGCTACCTAAACCACGGACAGCTGTTTGTCTGTTATCCTCCTTAAGCTGTACTTGGGCAGCAGAAGCTTATTTTTTTAGATCCAGAGGCCATATCTGCAGTCTCTGCAAATGACCCAGCAACTTTTCCAGGGTGAACTCAGTCAGGACAACCACTCTCAGGTATCTCATTGCAGGAGGGAGTAATAATGGCATGCTCCTAAATGCAATACAGCTCAGATTTAGTTAGTCTATAAGGTGCAAATCTACTCTGTCTTACGCTCCGAAATGCCACCCAAATGCCATGCATGTTTGTGACTGTGTTCAGTCTGTGCTGTAGATGATGATTCCCCTTTAGTTTTCATAAAAAACAGCTAACAGTGCTGACATTAGACTACCTCAGTTAAGCTTTATAGTGATGCCTTGCTAAAGTACAAATATATCTGTTTGCCTTGTGTGTTGCTGTGATTGCATTCATTATCTTAGTCCAGACTGCACTATTTTGCCTCTGTTCATGTTGTGAAAGTTATTTGAACAAGGGGAGGTAGCCAAGAGAAACCTAATGTAATTTTACATTGTTTGCTATGTTGGAATGCAAAATCCAGGTGTGAGGGTAATGTATAGTAGATTAATTGCTGCAAACCAATGCAATTGGATCCAGTGAGAGCCTGATGGGGATGGTTTCTCATTTTTAGCGCATGGCTAAGTAGGGGTATAAACAGATGTCACCAATTGAAGCAGATCAGCTGTGGCAGAATGTAGAAGCATAGAAAAGTAGGGTTGGAAGGGACCTTAGGAAGTCATCCAGTCCAACCCCCTGCTCAAAGCAGGATCATCTCCAACTAGATCCCCACCCCTCAACCAAAGCGTTGTCTAGCTGGGTCTTAAACACCTCCAAGGTTGGAGAGTCCACGACCTTTGTGGATAACCTGTTCCAATGCTTTACTGCTCTCCCAGTGAGACAGCTTTTTCTAATATCTAACCTCAATTTCCCTTACTGAAACTTGAGATCATTGCTTCTAGTTCTGTCATCTGCCACCACTGAGAACAGTCCAGCTCCATTCTCTTCAGGTAGTTGAAGACTGCTGTTAAATCCCCCCTCAGTCTTCTCTTCTCCAGACTAAAGAAGCCCAGTTCCCTCAGCATTTTCTCATAAGTCATGTGTCCCAGCCTCCAAACCATTTTCAGTGTCCTCTGCTGAACTCTCTCTAATTTGTCCACATTATTTCAGTAGTGGGGGGCTCAAAACTGAAGACAGGACTCCAGATGTGGCCTCACCAGTGCCAAAATAGAGGGCAAGAGTCACTTCCCTCAATCTGGTGGCAGCACTTCTACTAGTGCAACACAATATGCCATTAGCCGTCTTGGCAACAAGGGCACACTGTTGGCTCATATTCAGCTTATTGTCCACTGTAACCCCCAGTTCCTTTCTGCAGAGCTGCTGCTTAGCTGGTCAGTCCCCAGCCTGTACCGGTACATGAGGTTATTCTGTTCTAAGTGCAGGACTTTGCATTTGTCCTTTATTGAAGCTGATGAGATTTCTTTTGGTCAAATGCTGCAATTTGCCAAGGTCTCTCTGAATCTTTGCCCTACTCTTCAGCTTATCTACTGCTCCCCATTTGGTGTCATCTGCAAACTTGCTGAGTACAGGTGCACCAATATATCAGTCCGTATTGTATCGGCACTGATAAAAGGAAAATTGACATTGTCGGCAATCGGCTTTTTTTGGCTGATATGGCTGATAATGTCGCCGATAAATGCTGCGTGCAGCCCCGCAGCATGCGTGGGGCCAGGAGTGCAGCCTGGCAGCTTGGAGAGCAACATCCAGCCAGTAAGTCTGTGAGGGGGAGGGATATGCGGGAGGCAGATTGGTGCCCCCGCATTGAGGGAGGGAGTGGGGCTGGAGCAGGGACAGGTGCTGCACAGCTGGGGGGAACACGGGACAGAGCTGTGGGCGGCTCGTCTAGGAGCATAGGGTATGAGGAGTGGGGGGCAGTTCCTGGCCACTGCATGTACCCCCAAGGGACGCATGGGGTGCATGTGCCCCCTGTATCTGTGTGCAGGGAGAGGGCAGCCTGCCACTGCGCACTCAGGGCTGGGGCTGTGCCAGCCTTTTCCTGGCAGGGGTGGCGGCTGGGCTGGGGCTGCACTTGGGGCGGGCAGTGGCAGCACTGGGAATAGGGGCTACAGGGTGGCTATAGCAAATTTTGTAGTGGCTGTAGCTCACCCCATAACCCACCCCCTCCCAGCGCCGCTGCCTCCCACCCCACCCTACCTGGCCTAAGTGCAGCCCCGGCCCGGCCCCCTCTACTGGGAAGAGGCTGGTGGAGCCCTGACCCTGAGTGCACAGCAGCAGCCTGCGCTCCCCCCACGTACCGATCTGGAGGGGCACAAGCTCCCGTTTCTACCTCGGGGGTGCCCCCCCCCCCCCCCCCCCCCCCACACACACACACATTCTTTCTCTCCCCCTGCCCTGTCCTCCCAACAAACTTACCAGCCAGATGCTACTCTCCAACCTGCCAGGCTGCATATTGGCAGTTGGATCAGTATTGGCCAATATGGCTGGGGGGGGGGCCCCCCAAAAATATTTTAGGACAGGCCCCCCCAATATTAGAAGGTACTAGTCACCCCTGTTGCTGAGGGTGCACTCCATTCCATCTTCCAGGTCGTTGATGAAGATACTGAACCAAACCAGCCCTAGGACTTGATACCACCTGCCTACTAGACATAGAGCCATTGCTTACTACCCTTTTTGCCCGACAGTCCAGCCAGTTGTGTCCCACCACAGCTGATCCTGTTTTATTGGGTAAAATGAATGTTGTCTGTGGCCCAGCATTGGGCAGGGGATTGATCCTGCAGGACAGTGGACAACATGTTCCCTGCTTAGTCTCACCCTTTATCTTCCCCAGGGCATGTCTCTGGAAGGGGAAAGCCAGGGTTCTCTGTACAGAGATATGCCCAGGGCACATTTGTTTAGGAAGCGAAACCTGGGCAGGCAGTCCCAGGACCTAAGGGGCCTGATCCTGGTTGGGAATTTCTGGACCATGCAGGATCAGGTCCCAGGAGCAACTGCCTTGGGTGACTGGAGAGTACAGATAGCTCTGAGCTGACTGCGCTTTGTTGCCATAAACTTAATAGACATCTGCTGCAATAAAGTCACACAAATTGATAGCACCTGTGTCACAGTCACAAATTTGGGGCATGTATGGCGTGACAAAGAGAATGAATGTCTGTTTGCTTGGTCTTTGTGCTGCCTTTACTTTTATGCCGTGTCTGTTCCCATCCTATGTCTGTGCCTACTTTGTGCTGCGTAGGGAGAACATTTATCCATGTTTTGTGTGATGACCAAGAATATGTACATGTTTAAGTGTTCATATTCAAACTGATGTGCAAATGAACCTGTTCTTGAGAGCAGAGGATACAGGACTAAACATCAAGTCCTAAGTCTGGGTTTTCAAGAAAAAGGTCTTTCCTATTATTTGATTTGTCACCCTCATTTAAGCAGCATTCTAGTCATGTGTCCGGAGTGGTGTGGCAGCCAACACTCAGCTAAATGAGGGAATTTAATTCTAATGTCAGTTTGTTGTGTTGGTTCCTAGGTCCCACAAAATCTCCTAGAAGTAAACTTCCAGGATGTGATATTCTAGGACTCCTGGTTGATGACTGGGACTGCAGCGAGGCATTGGAACCGTCGGCTACTAAGCGAAAGGTGACGTGCACTGGGATTTTGGGATCACCTACAAAAATGTCTTGTACCGATGGTGAGAGAGAGTCACTATCAAGTACCCCGGGACACTGGTCTAAGCTAAGTGATACAATAAGGATATCTCCCTTTACAAGGGACCAGGACTCCAGCCTAAAAACTGTGAATTTTGATTTGAAAGGCGATAGTACCTGGTAAGTGGCAGCATTATTGTAATGAATCATCGAATGGCTTTCTTGTGCTTGGCATGTTGTTCCATTGAGGCGCAAACTGTTCTCAATGTGTGCTGAAATGCTTTGCCTACTGTCAACATAAAAAAGGTTTAATTGTTAATGCTTACACATGGGGGAAGCTCTGAAGAGGATGGGATGTGGAAACGGATGTATGCTGGAGGGTGGTTTGGAAATTTGAGATTGCCTCCAAGATTTACAGGGAGAGGGGACAGGGGCATAAATGGTGGAGATGCAGGAAAGGACACATTGACCCCTACTTTCTCAGCATATATAAAATCTGTTCTGCCCCCACCGTTTGTCTGCCCCCACTTGTCTTCATTTAGTGCACATATATCCTGTATCTGTAATATATATCTAGACATGCACAACCTGCAGAGGTATGTAGATCTATAGAGGTACAGCCTGGCGATAATAGGATTTGTAACATTTGTCATAATAAAGGTACCCTCTTTCTTATGCACCAAGCTGCTTCTTTTAGTTGCTAATTTTTTAAAAAGGGGAAGATTCCCAGATTCAAAAAAATGTTAAATTTCTCACATATATATTCAATGAACACTCTTTAAAAATCTCAACAAGCAGGGGAAAAATGTTCAGGCCTTTATATTCTATATCATAAATAAAGAAAATCATGACATTTTTGCTTCTATTTACTCATCCTGTGATGGCCAGCCTCTCAGTCACAGTGTTGGTATACTGTAAAACATTTTCTCTTTTGCTTAAAGAGAGGCATTTCGGTGAAAGTGAAATTAAGAAACCTGAAAGGTTTGAGAGGAGTTTACAATCGATTTTTAGTGAGAACAATTCATCTATACTAGTCCTTTCATCTAACAGACTGGTGACTGTCTTTTCAACCCCTTCCCCAAATCCCCCACCCCTCTTCCAGGCACTTAAATGGTAAAAATGAAGAAGATGCTAAGGAGACAGTTAAGGGATCCAAGAAACAAAGCAGACAAACGGCCACCCCCAGAAGCAATTCTAAAATCCACACAAGGTAAAATCCTAACGTTCAGATGAGGGCCATGTATCTGAGGTTCACTTGTTCCAAAAGCGATTTTGGGTTGCTTGTGACGGTGAAACATTCACCTTGTTAAAAAAAAAAAAATTGGTTGCTGACACATTTATTTAAAGTGTTTCTTCAGTGGCTGCTGCTGGAATGTGGCTCCAGTGAGTAGCGATGGAAAGCTATTGCCATGTAGCAGTCTTTTGTCCAAAATGAAGCATCCTGCTGGTGTCAATCCAAGATGTGTAGAGAGAGGCAGTGGTTATGGTAGAGTGGATTAGGATTTTAGACCCATCAAGTCTAATGCCAGTGTAGATCCTGTGATGTCTTGACATTGTGGTGGTCAGATAATCCCTGTGCCTTGATTTATACAGTATAAATTATGAGTACCTTTTACACAAGGTTGGGGTTTAAACTAAATATGTAAAGAGACTATTTGATATCCCATGAGCATCTGCAATGAGTTAAAGGGAGAATAACTCACCACTATCTGTTCTTTTGTCTAATGGAGAAGTTTTTACTTTTAACGCTATAAACAAGTGTCCATTTTTCTTTATTCCATCAGGCACGTGAATAGTAAAGATGAAGAGCAAATAGAGAAGGCGGGCAAGGAATCAAAAAAGCCAGCCAAACAAACAGCTACTCCCAAGAGCAATTCTAAAAGCCGCACAAGGTAAATCCTAACACTGATGGGGCAGTGTCAGGGCATTTGCATTGCTGGTGCTTATGATGCACATGATCTTGAAACAGATGGGACTTGAGTCTCCCCTGCTGTCAATTCAGCATCAAGTTCAGGTCCTAAAGTTAATAGAACAGTTTCTCTCTCCAACTGTGACACAAAGGAGTGGATACAGACAACTTTGTTCTTTCTATTTAGTTTAGTTGAAGATGAAGAAATGGAGAGTCAAAGTCCAAGGGCAACCCCTCGTTCTCATAGGAGATGTGTACGGAGGACATCTGCTCTCATTGCAAAGCAAATCCGGTGAGCATTCTCTGCCATTACATCTGATTCATGTTGCCAGTGGGGCTTTCAGCTTTGAACTGGCGTAGTTTGCTGTTGAAGTAAAAGCCAAAGAATCCCAGTCCTATTAAGGAAATAAAGATATATTCCATTTGAATGCAAGGCATATTATTTGCAAAAAGATTCCCCAGAATTCTTTTGATATACTTGGTAAATTAAAGCCAAATGAGGTCTTCAACTATTCTTACTTCAGATGAACTGCAAAGTAGAAAAATAGCTTGCACCCATTATTTTAGTCTTGTGATATATTAAGTCAGCCTGAATTTCCCCCTCAAAAAATGCTTTTTGCATCTAATTTTTTTGAGATTTGAGACCTGATATTTCTACTGTTCTTGGTGGATGTTTCTTTAGAAGGTGAATTGAAAAGGGGACCTCATCAGTGGCTAAAGCCTGAGTGACATTCATAGACCTTGTCTGTGTGTAGTGTAGCTTATGTCAAAAATTCATTACATGCTGCAACCCTTAAATCAGTTTATAACTCTGTAGCTGCGGGGTCAGCTAGCTCCTTATTTTGTTTGTCTGCACACTTTTTGTGGAAAAATACTAATTTAGTAACTGGTGACTACCAGTGTTCACCTACAAGTCTCTATATGGGCACATGCCTGTCCTCTAGCCCGTTCAGGACACTTTGAGGTGGGGAGGGAAATAGGAGTTCAAATAGGTCTCTTTGTGCTTGTGTAACTAATTTAAATCCTTTCTGTTTGCTGCTTGACATACAGCTGACAGTGCTCTCTATGCATGTCCTTTCAAGACTCTTTTCTCAGAACACTGATACAAGGCTTAGGCAGCATGGTAACATTGGATCTCTGTGGTTGTGATTAAAACAATGATTTTGGAAGCAGTCTATGTGCACACATCAGGTGTAAGTGGTGTAGTCCAAACTGCCCTTTGGCGTTCTCTCCTGAGAAGAGCAAGATCCTGATGTTCCTGATATTTTTTTAATGGTGGGAGGAGGGCAAAGGATAGACCCAGGAAAAGGTATTTGAAAACAGTGAGGCCACCTTCACATAATGGGCATGCACAATATGTAGTTCTCAAGCATAATACTTAGAAGTCGCTTATCAAAAACCTGTCGTCTTGCAAACTGTCTTAGTAAAATGGCCATGGAAAACTTACAAGCCCAGGTATAAAATCTACTTGCCTGCTCTTCATCACTAGAAAAAAATGTTAAAAGCTGCCTATCAGGTTACCTTGGTTTCAAATAATTGAAAATGCTCTTTAAACCTGAGTTGCTTTGTTTTTTCTACATATGCAGTGTGTTTTTGTTCTCACTTAGCCTTTTAAATGGATCCAATGAGGCGGAGGAAGATGAGGATGAGGCAGAGGAGGAAGATGAGGATGAAGATAAAGACTTGCTATCCAGCTCAGACAGTTCTTACTCCAGTAGCAGCAAAGCAGAGGTCCAAGTGTTCTGTACTCCAAAGAGGAAAACAAAGTCAAGCAGAAGACTCAGGACCCAAACATTTTCAAAGAAAACCCCTTCTGGCACTACTACCCCCAGAAAAACTGTAAGATTTCTAGAGGTTCTGAAAATTATTAGCTTTGAGTATTTTAAGTCTAAATCACTTGTTTCATTTGTGTGGCTCATATATATGGAGGTAACTAAATCATCTGGAGTGAGGTGGTTGAGAAGTTTAACAAGCAACTTGGTCTTGCATAATCCTCCATGTTAGAATGATGTGGATAGTTGAAATATTGAGTGAGGCTCCTGCCTCCACTTAAATTAGAGGAGTCCTGCCTGAGGAGAGGGGTTGTGGCTTAGGGCTCTTTTGTGTTATCCTGTGGAGCAAGCTGTGCTTCCTGGAATAAAAGAAAAATAGTCCTTTGTTACTAAAATCTACTTAAATTGGTGCTTTTTCAAACTGTGCATGCAAGGTGTAGATGAAAAAATCCAGTTTGGAGAATCCCATCATAAATAATTAATATTTTAACTATGACATATGTCACTGCTGACTATTTTCAGTTTGGTTTGTTAAGTGCCTAGTACAATGGGGTCTGGTCCAGGATGATGGTTCCTAGGACTACAGTAATACAAATAATTGGTTTAAAGAAATAGCACTGTAACTAGTTTTTTGGGGTTTTTTTGGCTTGGACAGTGACAGAATTTGATCTCACTTTCTGGCTTTTATGAACCAGAGCAGTGCAGCAAAACACAACAGAATTCTGTTCTTCAGGCGTTTAAGTTTCATGATTTTTTTTTTTAATCAGTCTTCATGTCTTCCTTTTTGGAGTCAGGGAAGGAGTCTAAACTGTGTATCTGAACCTTTGTCAGGTGTCCTTTTTTAAAGTACAGCACTCTTCTCACCTGTCCTTCCAAAAATACTTCTATTTTTTGTATAAACAAACCTTTGGAAATGTGGCCACCAGATTGATGGTTTCCAGCTAAAACTTTGCAGAACTGCCACCATATGAGGCTTTTGGCTTCTCTCTACAGCCCGAGCTAAGAACCCCTAAAATGCTCCGTAATGCTACTCCCAGAATTCCCAGTCGGTGCCAAGCAGCACGAAAACCAGCCAATATATTAGAAGAGGCACGATTAAGGTAAAGTATAGTGGGGGGGTATGGAATGATCCCGTTACTTTACCAGAGAGATTAGGAGCAATAGGTTACACTGAATGGAAGGAAATGCCCACTTTAGGCATATAGTAGGGATCTACCCAAGAACTGGTAATACCAGCAGCTCCTTTGGTTCAGAGGTGAAAGTCAAAAATCCTGTTCAGGTTTAGAAACTATTTAGACTGGTGCAGGCATGCTGAGTTTAGTTTTTTGCAAATGTGGCTCTTGTTTTCCTCTGTGCTTGTCCCAAGGCTAACTTCCCAGGTCTCAAAGATCTAGAAACAGCTCTAGAAATAGAATAGTTATTTTTTGTCTGTATGATGCAGAGAAGAATTAAGAGGTCTATTTTCTCATCCCTATACTTCAGACTTATGCATACTAGCTTCCTCTTAATGACAAAAGCTCCCTCTTAATAACCTTACAATTAAAACACCACATACACACACGCACACAAATGTTTTTGGCACTTTTGCACTTTAAAAAGGACTCAAGTATTTACACAAGTTTGAAAGGAGAGATGAAGAGGATTTCTCCTATTCAGTTGTCTTCAATAGGAGGTCAGTTAGAATGGTGAAAACAGATCTTGAATCTGGTCAATCCTTTATCTTTCCTTTCTTTTTTTTTTCTTTCCCCTCCCCTTCTAAATGAAAGGCTGCATGTTTCTGCTGTACCAGAGTCCTTGCCTTGCCGAGAAAAGGAGTTCCAGGATATCTATAACTTTGTAGAAAGCAAACTTATTGATGGGACAGGAGGGTGAGTTGCCTTATGGGAAGCTTCCTTTATACAATCTGGGAGCGGGCAGAGGTGGTAGCGGATTGAGTTAATTTCAAAACTGGGCTCAGAATTTGAGAGTTTCCAGCTCTCTGACTGCACAAATCACTGGGTTCATTGGTGGGTCCTCTGCCATTTCAGGTGCATGTACATTTCTGGAGTTCCTGGAACAGGCAAAACTGCAACTGTTCATGAAGTAATCCATTGTCTCCAGCAAGCTGCAGATGAGGATGAGCTCCCTTTCTTCCAGTTCATAGAGATCAATGGCATGAAATTGACTGACCCTCACCAGACTTATGTGCAAATATTAAAGGTGAGCATGACCTTTCTTGTCTGAACAGAAATTAAACTCTCACTCTTCTTTCTCCTCTTCCTGTGCCCAGCCCCAGGAGCCATGACTTGTAACAACTAGCACATCCCAGCAGTCCCTTTAAGAAGCAGTATGCTTTTCTCTTAGGACAGTGTTACACAGTGTTTTTATTTTGGTAGTTTCCGTTAGTTGAAACTAGAGAAAGTTCTCTGATGCATTGGATGTTGCCAGGGCAGCAGCTTGAAAATCAAGTTGGCTGCGTGGCTTTAGTGTCTGTATCATAATTTTGAAATGTTCATATGTGATCCCTAAGTGCCTCGGGAGCTGCAAGGCTCATGAGAATATGTATTACTACTTACTGTACAAGCTACTTCAAAGGTGATCTGATCAGAATATTTTCTTATTTGAAATAGCAAATTCTTCAGTCTAAGGCCTTGCTGACTGTATATGAATGCTTTGATATGGGCCCAAGCCTGCTGAAGTCAGCAATCCTTGCAGCAGATTGGGTTGGCGTCAGGGTTTTCTTCATTCAGGGTCTCTGTGGAAGCCCTCTTCCAGGGTATGCCTGCTTAGAGTCTATAAAGCTATTTTACAAGGTGTGTCTATTTGGCACAAGTCACAATTAACAACTGTGTGACCTTTTTTAAGCTAGGTTTTCCTTAGTTCCTCATCTTCTCCTGTATGCTTAGGTTCTGGCAAATAGAGCTAAACTGAGCTCTGTTTTTTGTGTGTGTAGTTTCCAGATATGTGGTGAATTAAGAAATGTCCAGAATAAGGGTTACCTCCCCTAAATACATGACTACAGATTAACCTGAAGCACTGTTTAACCCCATTCAGTTACTGACTGGTCAGAAGGTAACAGCAACACATGCTGCATCACTGTTGGCGAAATTGTTCCACACCTCTGGGCCCAAGAGGAAGACGACAGTGCTGGTAGTGGATGAGGTGAGAAACTGCAGGGAGTGGATTTGGGGAGCTCTGGTGTATTGTCAAAGGTCCTAAAAAGGAGAAGATTTGAAGATTTAACGCATGCAAGCAACTTTGGGCTGCTCTATTAAAATGGATGTATAGAATGTTGTCTCAGTAGGGCAGTCGCCAAGAGAGCATTCTACCTGTGGCCTCCAGTTTACTTCTAGTGATGCAGTATTTCAATATGGGATTTAGCTATTTCAGACTGTGTTTTGCCTGGCTGTTCTTTGCTGAGAGAGAAAATTTAGCTCTGCAGTGCAGAAGTGGTGTTCTAGGTGGCAAAGCTTCCAGAGTACCGGTCCTAATGACAGATGCCCACCCTGTGGACCATGATCTGACTCTAGTGCCCGCACATCTGATTCTTGTAAACCTATTGTTAGGAGTATTAATATTACTGTAGCACCTAGAAATGCCAATTGAAATCGGATCCTATTGTGGACATTGTACAACAATATAAGAAGATGGTCTTGTTTCTGAAGAGCCTACAATATAAATAGATGTGCCAGATGAAGGGTGGTGCAGATGATGGAGTCTGGCACAATCAATGATATGGCTTGTCCATAATTGTATCAGAAGTCTATAGTAGAGTGTGGGAGGGCACTGCTGGTGCCTGCCACATTAAGGGCCCAGCCAAGCAGCCAGCAGGTGCTTGATTACGGTGGCCATTTTAGATTCCTGGCTGCCTATATAAACAGAACAATTCACTGCTGGCAGCCCAGGCGGCAACATTGCAAGGCTGCTTGGAACATCCTGGAGGTAAGGGCAGGAGCTGTAGGGGGATGGCTTGGAGGCTCCTGGTCCTGGGCATGACCTAAAACTGCACTCTGCCAGGTGTGCGTGGCCTGGTGTGGCTGTCAGTGGCGCAGGAGCCCCCAGGAAATGCCAAGCCAGTGATCACCCCGGTGAAAGGCAGGTTGGGGCGCCTTAATAACCCTAGCTCCCACAACCGGGTGGGTTACCCCCATAGAAGGGTCAGGAGGGTGGACCCAAGAGAGAGAGAGGGCTATAGACTCAAAAGCCTGACTTGTAATCCCCTGACTGGTCAATGCTGGGGCCAGGACTGGAAGGGTCAAAGGGCCAGGGGCCCACTGCGAGGGACGCCCAGAGCTGAGGGCCTGGGGTTCTGACTGGCCTGGAGGTGGGCCAGGGCTAGTGTAGCCAAAGGTCCCGGGGAGACCACGCTCGTAAGGGGGAACAGATCAGGGAGCTATGCAGCCCTGAATGAAGGCGGAGTAGGCCGCCTAAGTGGAGGGATCCTGTAGGGGTCTGGACTGAAGGATTCTGGGGCCCAGTGGGGGTCCGGTGATGATAACAGAGGATGCCATCTGTGAGGCTTGGGCTGTGGTGTAGGGGAGGAACGGAGCTGCAGATAGTGCCCCCTGGCATCAGGGCAAGAAATGGGCAGCCTCCCACCTAATTAACAACTTAATTAATTAATTAACAAGGCACGGCAGGCGAGAAGGCAGGCAGTTGGCCCAGAACAGGTGGGTGGGGCCTTTGGTAGACAGGCCCCCTGTTACATAGTAGCTGATGTTTTGAGTCCCAAATAAGCACTGTAACAACAAGATCATCATTCCTCTCCAGTTAACTTCTGCTTCCTTCCTTTCTCTTCCAGCTCGACCTTTTGTGGACCCGGAAGCAGGATGTAATGTACAATCTGTTTGACTGGCCAACCCAAAAGCACTCAAAGCTGATCATCCTTGCTATTGCAAACACCATGGATTTGCCAGAGAGGATCATGATGAACAGAGTGGCGAGCAGGCTGGTATGTCCTGGCAGCTTTATTGCTGTGCTGGCAGATGAAATGAGGGTAGATTAGGTACAGTCTAGTGTTATCAGGAAAAGTTGGATGGCTCTGTGACACTCCAGAAGTAAAACTAAACATGCCGTTTTCATTCTTTCAAAACGATGATGGATGCACGGATCCAAAGAAAATAGGTGCAGGTGTCATTAGGTATCCTCTTTGTAAGAAATAATTTAGGAAATATGAGCCAGGTGACTTCTTACATGTTAAGATGTGGATAATCAGTTGTCATGTCTCAGGGAGTCAGATAAATCCCTGTCTGCTTGCCCCCCACCACAGCTTTATACAGTTGGTTGTTGCCTTTCTCTGATTAATAGTCTTGGGTGCAGCTGGGCAAGATGTAAGATGTGATCAAATCCAGGATGTAATACATCCTGTTTTCTTTCCTAAACCAGCACTGCTTGAAAAAGTGAGTTGCAGATATGTACCATAGGATTCCAGATTTGTTCTTCCTTCTTGACTTTCATCTTACAAATATTCTTCCCCCCAATGCCAGGCTGAAATACTCAAATTAGGATCTGCAGGTCTAGTGATTGCTTCAGGGTTGACATGCAACCACTAAAAAAATAAAGGTTCTGGAGAATGTTATAAATACTGTCTCCAAGTTGAAAATGTAAGCCAGTGGGTTGCATAAATGTAACCAAGGGTAGAATTTATTTAGCCTTTCAGCTGAAATTTAGCAAATTACTTTGACATGAGCCAGAAGAGAATCTGCCAGAACATTGGCTGTTGCTAGCTTTGCAGGGCTAACAGGAGTACTTCATTATTGTCCATGAATTCAACAGATATGACTTGCATACCTTTGCATAGAGACAGCTAATCCATCAGCTGAAAAGTTATTTTTACCTGGCCACAAAGGAAAGTGTACCTTTTTAAGAGTGATTCTTAGATATAAGGTCACATTTAAAAGTTCCCTTTATTGAGAAAGCCCAATAGCCTTCAAGTCTTGTGTTGGAAACTTGACTTTCAAAAGTATGAACTTCTGCTCCCCAAACCCTTTGCGGTAGGTCATGCTGTCAGCTTCCATTCAGAGTTTTAGCGGTTTTAATGCTTTTCTTTTGCATGGCTGGAACAGGAAGTTATAGTTTGTCTTGCAGATGAATGCCAAGACTGTCCTTATTACAGATGTTGTGACAGTTAGCTGTCTCAAGCCAGGCTTATGAGAAGGTGAATGGTAGTCTGTTTGGGATTTGGTGATGAGAGCTTGCATGTGTGTGTGAAGCGGGTGTAAAACAGCCTTTCAAAATCTCTTAACCGACGTGAAATTATTTTCCTTAAGAATCTAGACATTTAGATAAGTGCTTTTGACAGTGATTTCTAATCATCAGTAAATGTCTATGGTGTTAGTAACTCTGGAAGCATTTAGTTACTGTTACTCATTTGTTCTGTGCAGGGCCTCACCAGAATGTCCTTCCAGCCCTACACCTACAGACAGTTGCAGCAGATTATCTCATCCCGGCTGAACAGTGTCAAAGCATTTGAGGAGGATGCAATCCAGTTAGTTTCTAGAAAGGTAAGCAGCAGCACTGAAGTGTCATTGCTATTGCAGAGTTAAGTAAGGCAGCTAGCAGCAAAGGAAATCAAAACCATAGGTAGTAATGGAAATCATTCCCACCCTCTCATCACACATTTCTGCATTCCCTGTGGCAAAGGAGCGTGCTCATAACAACACACTCACTGTGATTTCTACAAATTCATGTGCTGCTTTGGCAGTGTATTTTACCTGGTCTCTGGTCTTGAAAGACTGCTATGATATTGCTGTCCACTAGTTATAGGCAGCAGAAACTTGGTAATTCATAATAGCGAGATGTTGACTTTCTCTAGCACGTGGCATAATGGAAATTTACTGTGTGACCTTGCCAAAATAGGGCTGATCATCAAAAAGGAAACATCAACTCCACCTTCTTCCATGAGCTCATTCAGGCTATACTATGCTTTCCAATGTGTCACTTTTGCCATATTGCTTTTCTTCTTAGGTGGCGGCATTATCTGGAGATGCAAGGCGTTGTCTTGATATCTGCAGAAGGGCCACTGAGATCTGCGAGTTCGCTGGTCAGAAAAGCTCCTCGGGGTTGGTCAGCATGATCCACATAATGGAAGCAATCGATGAAATGTTTTCATCTCCTTATTTAAATGCAGTCAGGTAAAAATGTAGCTTAGAAGCCTCTTCCCTTTCCTCCCCAACCTTACAGATGGATTTTGGGGATGGGTGACAAGGTTTCCCTTAGGAAGTGCATCTTATTTTACCTTCCACATATCTCAGAGCACTTTCTACAAACTTTTAAGTCTCAGGGCTACTCCTTTGAGTGTTATAGATGGGGAAATAAAGACACAGAAAAAGTGATTTGTTTAAGGTCACAGTGAGCCGGGGATTTTCTAGGATTAAATGTAAGAGTTTCTTTCCTATTTAATCTGTGTCATTTCTTGAGTATCAAAAGGTTTTGCAGGTAAAATTAGACCCTCATATATGTTGGGAGAACTCCATCTTCAGTAAATTCACCCAGTATCTGCCTGACAAATTAAAAAAAACTATTGATGAAATGTGAGAGAGTCTCCACCTAATTGTCATTGCTGTGCAGAATTAACAGGAAGAAAGGACTGACTTTATTTTAGTCACTAAAGCAAATGGACAAAATTTGAATATGCACATGAAGCAGATGCCTTCAGTGAGAAGGTGCTGTTTATGCCAAGTACAATTCTGCTTTAAATATTTATTTTGGGTGGAAAATTGAATAATGTGTGAATTAAAAACCATAACCTGCCAGGGAGAATGCACAATCTTCAGTATCACATTTGTCCTAAAACCCCAAACTTCAAACAGTTAAGAGATGCAGACTTGCTCTCCCAATATATTAAATACAGAATTCCAGCTTGCCGTTGTACTTCTTAATTTCCACAGATTTGCCATGTTAAAACACTAGCCTTTATATAAATGTTGTCCTATCACCATAGTATTCAAGATCCTGGTTGAAGAATGATTAAATGTTATGTTGTGAAATGCAGCGTGCAAATACATTGGTAGGGATTAAGGTCTGATGAGACCTTACATTTTTCCTTTTCCAGTGTAGGG